CAGTACAGTGTGCAGTTATTGCTGAGGTTGTTGAGAAACAGGAGCAATAGTTTCAGAAGGATACTTAAAAGGGAGAACTTGGCACCAAATGCCTCCCATGAACAAAGGTGCCTGATTTGTATAGTCTTTATGTGAAATTGTACCATTAGAATCATGCCTAACCATTAATAAATTAAATAAATAGCATTTTTGGCTTCCTGGTAGAGAATCTGTTATTTCCTGGCTTCCCACATCTGTTGCTGAAGCCAAGTTTTATTTCTTCGAAAAGTTATTGCCTGGCTTGTCTTCAGGGAACACTTCTTGTGTCTCATCTCAAATGCTGAGAACTGACTGTGAACACAGTGTTCTTGCATTAATATACATATGGCTGGGTTATCTGGATTCTTTTTTGACTAGGTCTAATAGAAAAGTAGGTGGAGAGTAGAAAATATTTTGGTAATAAGGGTTACTGCAGTCAGGTAAACAGCTGATCCCAAAGGAGAGCTCTCTTATTTCAGAAGTTTGCAAGATGGAAACTGGAAGAGAGTGATGCAGGTGGTCCAATGTGGCCATGTAGTCGTGTATGGACTCTGTCACAGAATGGCACCCAATTTAATCATCTAGGCTGCAGCACCTACCTTTTGCTGCTGGTTGAAGAGAAACCGTTTTCCAAGGCAAACTCTTCAGCTGTTAATTAAATTAATAATTTTTTTAAAAAAATAAAGTATCTCTGAACTTGTTTATCATCTTCCCAGTCATTGACTCTTACGGTACTTTTGATGGATGAAGGTTAGATTTATAGTACTAAATCTTCTTCCATGTGTATTTACAGGCTGAATAAATCCTGTGACTAAGCTAAAAAGGTAGGCTCTCAAGGGCCAGGGTAAGACAGGTTTTGCAGATTTTCTTTTTTTAAACCATTGGTTGTGGCTTTGTTTCTGAACCCCTCGCAGGAAGGCCTGGTGAAGAGGAGATGACTGTGTGTCATACCTCCATCAGTAAGTTGGATGCACCCAGCGCTTTGCAGATGTTGCATGCTGAAGCAAATTGGTTCCACACCTGCTGATTTCATGAGCAGCTAACATGAAATAGCACAGCCATCTTCCAGTTGCATCCCGCTTTTCTTTCTGTCCACCTGCTGGCTGATCTATGAAACAGGGATTCCTGGTCAGAAACTGCATCCTGAGCTGAGAAATGCCTTGGGAAACCAGAGGAAATCATGGAGCAGTCACCCAGCATGGACAGGTGGTGCTGCCATTACCTCCTAGCCCATCTTTCAGACCATAAAACCTACTTCTGTGTTGGGGGACTTCTCAAAAAATGATGCACTTGACCACTGAAGTCAAATCCAATGCTCCAACTCCCAGAGAAGTGCCTTAACGACAAAACTTTAGGCTATTTTGGGGATTATGCTACTGCCTGTCCTGCTCTGAAGCTGGACTGCTTTCAAGAATGCGTGAGTTATAGGGCCAGAAGGTCGGTATGCAAGAGGGACGGACCCTGCCTTAGTGGCTATTTTATGTTACGCAGTAATTGGATACAAAGAAGAAATAAAGGTAAGGGCAGGCATAGTGATCCTGGGTCTTCCCTTCCGAGCTGAGTGCCCTGAGCTCTTGGCATCTGAATCTTGGCATCCTTGTCTCCTTGGCCAAGGGTTTTTTTACACTCCTGGGTACCTGATAGCCCAGCCTCAGCATGATGGATTTGATGAGTTTATGAACTCCTATGGGATGCTGATTTCCTTATCTTAGAGAGATAAAAACTTAGCATGTGAAATGTAAATGCAGCTACTCCTTGTTTGGTGCCTAGGCTAAGGTTATTTTCTGTACCAGCTGGAAAAAAAGGAGTGGGGGGAATCGGCAGCAGCTGGCAACAATGCTTGAAGATGCTGAAAACTGTCACCTGTGAGCTTGCACCAGCACTGTCATGGGTATCCCCAGTTGGAATGGTGAGCCCAGGCTGACGTCTGTGCAAGTTTTGGAGGCACTGGTCTGGAGGCAGTCCTGGCTTCCCTGGTTTCAGCCGCATGCTCTTCAGTTCTGTGACATCGGAGCAGGACATGGCTGCGTTGTTCCTGCCAGAAGCCAGATGCTTCCCCAGTGCCTTTTGTATTTCTTCGCATCCCGCTCTGTCTGTGGGCAGGCAGCATTCGCTGCATCGCTTTGCATTCAGACTGAGTTTACCAAAATGTTCTGTTTCTCGCAGAATACTGAGCTTTCTCTTCTCTTTGTGAGCACTGAAAAATATATGTAGTCCTTGGCACGCTGCTGGCACCAGGTGACCTTGTTTGCACCCTTGCTTGCTTGAATAGGGGGTTTGTGTGCCAGGGTTTAGAAGGGGGTGATTTGCAGGCTAGTAAGGGGCAACCATGCGATTAGAAATTCCACGATCTGACAGGATGCACATTTGACCTGCTAGTGTAAAATAGATTATTATTCTATTATGTAAACATTTTGAGGTTCAGGTTGGATAAGAATCAATGACAGAAATAGGTGGTGTGTTCCTACCTGTCTGTAGAAGTACTTGCTAGCATGTCTAGTTTATAACCTTACAATAGTGGCTTTGATTAATAATGCTTTATTAGTTATAAACATAGACTTACTGGATAAATCCTACTTACTCTGTTGAAAGGCTCTCCATGCCTACATAAAACTATTTCAGTAATTAGAAAGCTACTATATTTTTTTCTCTGTATTGAAGACTTGGGGTTATCAGCTCTCTGTCAGCGTTCCTGAATTCCTATGTAAGATTTCTGCTTGACCTCATCCGTCACACCAAAGGGAAACAGTTTAAACTTGCATTTTGGATGAGAAAGGGTGGGTGTAGAAAGACAGTTTCCCAAAGAAAAGAGGAAGGGAAGGGG